AACTAAACGTAGGTCCGACCTACTAGTTAGTTTGTTCGACTACTACTATAGTAGTACGTACGAACGAACTACCACCTACTACGTAAACTAACGTATGCTCCTCCTCTCTCTCTCTCTCTCTCTCTCTCTCTCTCTCACATTCATTTTTGACTCAAATCGGTGATGCCTCAATCACTAGATCAAACGCCCCAAATTTGATTTGAAGTAAAAAAGAGATGAGAGCAAAGCTGGTGGTGTACAGCCCACATCCACCTTGCAAAGGAAGAGTTTTGGAGAAGGTAAAGATGCAAGTCTAGTCAAAACTAGATCTAGGGCTAGCATCCAATGATCTTCGCTCTATATCTGGCACGTTCCAATCTCACTTGAAATAGGATCCTTTTTGGCATTGCCTATCAAAAACTTCAATGAGTGCACACAATGGTTATCAAATGTGACCACAAAATGCAACACCCTGCAGCATCAAAGCAGCAAAGATATAATGATCACAGCATGAGCTTAATGTATTGCCCACAATTTATTATTTCTTTCAAAGATATAATGAATGTGAAATTCATAAATAAATCTAAATAAATCTTGTCTAAATAGATCTTAACAAAAAAGGAAAGTAAAAAATCACATTACAATGATTCAATAAAAAAGTAGGCAAGATTTTAGGAAAATTTACAGAAATATCTCTAAAAATTTTGAAATTTCGGAAATACCCCTAATATTTTAGATTTTACATTCATGTCCCATTTTTTAAGAGCACATTTGGCATTTTACTTCTATCTTCTTTCCTAAATACAAGGTTTGAACTCAAATTTTGAGAGTCCATACTTCTCATCGAAATGTACCTGTAAAAAAAATATAATAATAATAATTTTAAATAAATAAATAAATAAATAAATAATGAAAAATAACTAAAAGACTCTATAATTTGTAAAAGACTCTATAATTTGTACATGATATTTTACTAATTTAGTTTTATTTAATTCATTTTTACATTTTTTATAGATGCATGATGGTGAGAAGTATGAACACAAACTTTGAGTTTATATAGAGCCTAGGCTCGGAACAATCAAATTAGAGCCTACCTCAAAATTTTCACTAGAAGTGGTTGTTTTGATGCCCAAATATCCTCAAATTGATCATCTCAACATCAAGATGCATGGAATTGAGAAAAAAAAGGATTTCAAGTTTTGGAAATAGTGCATCTTATAACGTATTTTTGGACCGTTAATTTTTAAGTTATTCAAGGTTTCATAGTTCGGCTTGATCTACACTATTTTTGAAGTTTTATATTTTATAATTAAAGATGAAAACATATTTTAAGGCTAGTCAAAGATTTCCAATATTAAAACCACATTTCTAGACACTATTTGAAGGTGGGCTCCAATTCGATTGTTTAGAGCCTCAGCTCTATACAAACCGCACCCTTTAAATAAACTTCCCCATACTCTAAACAAGCTTGAGAAGTACCTTCAAAATGAGTTAAATAGTGGAAATGTCTAGCAAAGGGTCTGGAGAGAGGAGAATGTGAGGGAGATCACTGAGATTCAAACCTTTGCGAGTGTCTACCCTCATAGTTAATGTCAGAATGGAGATTACTTAATTCTCTTATACTTTGTTATTTACTTTTCATGCTCTGGTTCTGTGAATTTCGGCAATTTCTACAGGCGGTCTATTATAGAAGAAACCCATGTCATATAGCATTTCTTCAATGTATGGTACACCACAAGAGATGCATTCGAGTTCAATGTGATCCACCAAGACCTGAATCGAGGGTTCTCCACCATGCTTGTTTGGGGATGTAGCAACAGATCAGCTAGGCATGAGAATTAAGAGTATAAAGAGGAGGTAGTTGAATTGAGCGATCATCCAGGTTGGAAGGAGGCACAAAGGGAGAAGAAGGAAGAGGTTGCTGGGTGCAAGGTTCATAGATGGTATTTGATAGAAAAAATGGGAAGGTAGAGGGATAATGGTCGGAAAGATAGTGGGATGGTCCTTGGGATTGATAAGCAAAGGAGGGCTGATAGGGGGGGGGGATGGGGCCAACTAGAGGGGATTACCAGTGGGGAGGTAAAAGTGTTGAACGAAAGCATGGTGGGGGTAGTGGTGGCAGAAGATCAGTGATGGGGAGAATTCACGGAATGAGGGTAGCTTTGGAGAGAGAGAATTTGGAAATGGAAGGGGCTAGTTCCAGTGGGAGAGAAACCAAGGTATATAACCAGTTGGAGGGCCTAGAGGGGTTACCCAAAATCCAATATCCTTCTCATCTTCTTTTTCTTTTTTTTCTTTGTTTTTAATCCAACACTTTCATATTTATAGAAGCAAACCCTTAAACCTAAATAGCTTCCTAAAAAAACCTAATCAATATTAAAATTTAGCCCTTCATCTATAAAAATTAAACTTCCAATTCTACCCTTAATTATCTGCAACAAAAAACCAAGACAAATACCTTAAATGAGAACTAGAAACCCATAATAATCGCAAATCTAAATTTCAATCTGCCAAAAAAATTAATAAACTTAAGAAATAAAATAAAATAAAAACCCTAATTGCAGCATTCTCCCAGGATTGGAAGAAGCTCGACCTCAAGCTCTTTGTGTTCATCACATCCTTCAAAGGCCATTTGAATAGTTGGTAATGAAGTCCCACCATTCGCCTTGATGTTTTGTCTTTTTTTCCATGAATCAATTGATCAAACACTTTATGTGCAACTTGACATGGAATTTGGGATATCAAACATAATTTTGTTTTCTCTATCGAGCTCCTGATGAAACTCTAAAAGATTGAACTTGATACTAAGATCAGGTGGGCGTTCCTCATGATGTTGTTCTTGCCACAAAATTTGCTCATTACATATAGGATAAGCATTAAAAACTTGATTGTGGAGCTCGATTCGTCCCTCGGGTGAAATTTGGTGATTGCAAGCACCTTCTTCTCGATGACCGGTATTTTCTAATCGTTGCAACTATTGATTTCTGTTAATCTCTCTTCAAATATCTCCCATCGCTTGATT